CTTCCGAGGAGGCTGCTGACCCTCCCGTCCCCCCAGTTCCTGCTCTCCCTCCACTCTGTGCCTGTCAGCAAGGGGGAGGGAGGGAGGGAGCAGCCAGCAGAGAGCTGCTGGCTGATTTGCCACAGCTGCAGCTCAGGGAGGGAGTAAAGCAGGATGGAACAGAGCCCCCTTGCCTTGCAAACCTCCCCAGCTACCCTGGTTTGGGTATTGGGGTAAGCCAACCTGGACCTGTGAGGTAAAGGGGCTCTCTTCCACCCTGCCCTCTTCCCCAACAGCCTGACCTTCCCGCCACCCCCCCCCACCCGCACGCTCCAGCCACACCAAACCAGCCAGCAGCTCTGTGCTACCACTGTCAAGAAGCCTGGGTGAGGGGTGGAAGAAGGGAGCCACCCCTCACCTTGCAGGCCTGGCCTGACTCCCTCCAATACCGCAGCCAAGTACCACAAGGCAAGGCAAGAGGCCCTCAAGGCAAGGGTGCTCTCTTCCACCCTGTCCCCACTCCCCACCAGCTGCAGCCATGGCAAAGCAGCCAGCAGTTTCGTGGTCCGTTCCCCACTGGCAGCCCCATGTGAAAAATAGATCCTGGAGGAAACACAACTTCCCTAAGGCACTCTGCTTTAGAGCACCTTCATCTATTACCTCTTTTGTCCAGGGATAATTTTTCGCACAATTGGCCATTTTAAAAGCACTCTACAGCTGTGCACATATGTTATGTCATAGCTGTAGAGCACTTTCAGGGGCTCAGTCGCACAAAAAATGTAAGCTGTGTAAGCATCCATCGTTACAATCAAGTAAAGGAAATTGTAAGACATACAGGATTTACCTATAAAACAACATGGATTAGGATTGGTTTTGCCTTTGCAGATAGGAACAGATATCGTTTCCTTAGAAATATAGGATCACCAACATGTACAGACTAAAGCATATTGTACCACTGTGTCATAGTGTTGACACAACCTTTGTTACCATCTTGCTAACTGCACCAGTATGAGTGAAAACTAAATGCAGCTCCGTTAGACTTAAAAATCTCTGATAAATCAACTTTAAAACAATGAAAAATACCCTCTTTTAAGTAGACTAATAACTAGGTTCATGATTCTGTTTTTGCCCCATAGTCCTTGGTGACATCATAAGATACTGCAGTAAAATAGGAGTCCAGCTTGGTTTTGGATGCAGATGATGTCTGTTTTTACAGAGGAAGAACAATTGAGAACAAGATGAGTGAAATCCTTTTAATCTCATTGCATCTTATGCATTTGCTTCACCATCCCTAATAATCAGAAAGAGATTGGTAGACTAGAAGGAGTTTGGAGAAGAACAGTGAAAATGATTAGAGGATGAATAGGCTAAATTATGAGGGAAGATTAATGGTGATAAAATGTGCGAAGTCTGGCTGAGTTATGACTAAGATAGGGTCATTATTTGCCTTATAAGTATCTGAAAGGGTAAAGTTGAAAGATGATGATAAATGAAGTAAGGGAATGGCAATACAATATTAAAGAATTAGAAACTACATCATGATGGGCATTTAACGCTAGCTGGCAAAGCACTGACACTGTATTTCAGTCCTTTAATGTAGGGCTGTCCAAATTCCAAGGGTTGCACATTACAAAGTTTTGGGGCCCCAGGCTGCACACCACAGGAACTGCGTGCTGCAGGCTACAAAGGCTCCCTGGGATGCCAGCCACATGCAGAACCCTACTTCTCTCACCTTCCCACTGCACTGAATAAGCCGCCCCACTTATACCACCTTGCAAGGAATTCTCCCCTCTCCCTCCTTCTTCCCCATCCTTGCTGCCACCCCTGGTCAAGCAATTCCATCTTCACCCCCTACGACTGCTGTGTGAGCAGCATGAACCCACTCCTTCCCTCTCCCCAGTGTTACAGGCTGTCCCTGCTGCTACTGCCACCACTACCATGCTACCACCACCAAGTGAGTGATTCTCCTCCTACCCCCTTCTGCAGGCAGGAAGCTCTCTGTGCCTCCTGCCATGCTATCCTTCCCCAAAGGCCCCGGCTGCTGCCACTGCAACAGCTGGAATAATGGGGATGATAGAAGCCAGGTGGGAGCATGGGGATCTGCATGTGAACTGCTCCTTGGCTGCCAGCCAGGCAGTCTTGCTTTAATGGGGGGGACTTGGATTGGATGAAGACAATGGGAGATGGTGATTCATCATCAAACTTTTGTGGGTTTTTGGTAGTTCTTGATCAGTACTTTTCATAGCAGCCCATGGAATGGAATTCATGTTAAGGAGGATTATAGGACAGCCCTCATAGAATCATTATGTAACTGCTATATGTTTAGTTTCATAGATTCATAGATGTTAGGGTCGGAAGGGACCTCAATAGATCATCGAGTCCGACCCCCTGCATAGGCAGAAAAGAGTGCTGGGTTCAGATGACCGTAACCCCAGCCAGATGCCTATCCAACCTCCTCTTGAAGACCCCCAGGGTAAGGGAGAGCACCACCTCCCTTGGGAGCCCATTCCAGATTTTGGCCACTCTAACTATGAAGAAGTTCCTCCTAATGTCCAGTCTAAATCTGCTCCCTGCTAGTTTATGGCCATTATTTCTTGTGATCCCCAGGGGCGCCTTGGTGAGTAAAGCCTCACCAATTCCCTTCTGCGCCCCCATGATGAATTTATAGGCAGCCACAAGGCCACCACTCAACCTTCTCTTGTGGAGGCTGAAGAGGTCCAGGTGCCCTAGTCTCTCCTCATAGGGCTTGGCCTGCAAGCCCTTAACCATACAAGTGGCCCTTCTCTGGACCCTTACCAGGTTATCCACATCCCTCTTGAAGTGTGGTGCCCAAAACTGCACACAGTATTCCAACTGCGGTCTGACCAGTGCCCAATAGAAGTGAAATATCACCTCCTTGGTTCTGTTTATCATGCATCTGCTGATGCACAATAAAGTGCAGTTAGCTTTTCTGATGACTTCGTCATACTGATGACTCATGTTCATCGTGTTCATCCCTTTCCGCTTCTGTGCTACCGAGCAGGTCATTTCCTAGGCAGTAGATGTACTGGACATTTTTCCTCCCTAGCTGCAGCACTTTGCATTTCTCCTTGTTATATCGCATTCTGTTGTTTTCTGTCCATTTGTCCAACCTGTCCAGGTCTGCCTGTAGTTGTTCCCTGCCCTCTGGTGTGTCCACTTCTCCCCACAGTTTTGTGTCATCCACAAACTTGGACAGAGTACACTTCACTCCCTCGTCCAAGTCACTGATGAAGACATTGAAGAATATTAGTCCAAGGACCGGTTCCTGCAGGACCCCACTGCCCACATCCTTCCATCGATACCGACCCATCCACTACCACTCCCTGGGTACGACCCTCTAGCCAATTTGCCACCCACTGGACTGTGTAATCATCCAAGTCACAGCCTCTAAATTTGTTCACCAGTATGGGGTGGGATACCGTATCGAAGGCCTTCCTGAAGTCTAAGTAAACGATGTCAACTGCTGCGTCCAGGTGTTTTGTAACCTGGTCATAAAAAGAGACTAGATTAGTCAGGCATGATCTACCTGCTATGAACCTGTGCTTGTTTCCCCTCAGCATCATTTTTCCTGCTGGGCACTAACATATATGAGCCTTAATAATCTTTTCAAAGACTTTGCTAAGGATGGAGGTGAGACCGACTGACCTATAGTTGCCTGGGACCTCCTTCCTCCCCTTCTTGAAAATAGGGACCACACTGGCCCTTTTCCAGTCCTCTGGGACCTGGCCCGTGTGCCACAAGCGCTCAAATATTCTTGCCAGTGGCTGTGCAGTGACATAAGCCAGTGCCTTCAGTACCCTCGGATGGAGCTCATCCGGGCCTGCCGACTTAAATGCGTCCAGTCCTTCCAAGTGATTCTGCAACATCTCAGGGTCAACGCTTGGTAGTCTGGCGCCCTGCTGTTGCCTCTCTGCGATCCCATTGTGAGACTTGTCTTGCCCCTCGTTTAGGAACACTGTGGCAAAGAACTCATTGAGGAGTTCAGCCTTGTCCCCCCTCTGTCACCAATTGCTTTTCCCCATTCAGTAGTGGTCCTATTCTACCCTGGGCCTTCCTTTTACTCCCTATATATCTGAAAAACAATTTTTTGTTATCCTTAACTTGGGATGCCATCCTCAGCTCCATAGTAGCTTTGGCCTTTCTAACTGCCTCCCTACAACTGTGAACTAAAGAGCTGAACTATATCCTCTTTAGTAATCTCTCCCTTTTTCCACTGCTTATATGCCCCCCTTTTGTCCTTAGGTTGCCTGGATTTCTTTGGTCAGCCAAGGAAGCCTCTTGGCCCCTTCCCCCCTTTTCCCCCGCATTGGGATTGTCTC